AGTTCCCTTGCAGGACTGTTTTAGCTAGTCAAAAAATTTGTTAGAACGAAACTGCAGAATGAAGCCAAGGGAATTAAACCCTTGCAGGTGCATGGAGACTAGTTAAGGACCTGACACAGGTGAGACAGTAAATAGCCCATAGTGGTTCTGGATACAGGCATTTATTTAAGAATTTGCAATATTAGAGCTTTTAACCTACTCAGTTATCTCACACACTCCCTCACTTCCCCCACAGTGTTATATTCACTGGGCAATCACTGCTAGTCTGTGGAGACCAGAAAGTTATGTCAGTTCATGCTGTGCAGCTGTGCTTGGGCATTACTGGCCAAGGCCCCTGGGCCTTCCCTGGCATTCATCTCCATGCGGCTCTCTGACCTCCTGGATCTTCCACCACTTCCAAGATCTTTCCTCCAGCCGGGATCTTCACATTCTTCCTTCCATCCCTGAGCCCCAGGTTTTCCCAATCTAAATGGTCTAGGTGCAGAAGCACTATGTGTGATCAGCTTCCTAATTGGCAGTTCTGTCTCAGGTCTCTACTAATCGGAGGATAACGACGTATTACTTTTGTTTAGTCCAACTGTTAACGAAAATTTACAACTAGGCCATATTGGTTGCAGCTAGCGACCTCGAGCTTGGGAGTACAAAAGTTCAATTTCGGACAATTACACCCATTAATCTGCTGCCTGTCACCATTTACAATTTAAGTTATTTTTTTACCTACCACAGGCACCAATACTAGAGGCACAAAGTAAGCACATACTGCATATCAAGAAAAGGTGGAGAAAGGCCATAAGGAACTGGCAAGGCTAAACAGCAGGGTAAGGAGTGTTTATTAGAAGCAAGACAGCATCCTTCAAAAAGTTGAGCTGTGTCCTGTTCAGTGAGTAAAAATGAAAGAATGATACATACTGGAAGGCTAAATGTAAAAATAAAATAAAGCAGGCCAAAAAATTGTTTGAGGAACAGATTGTAAATGGGATGAAAGCTCATAAATCCTTTTTTAAACACCTCAGGAATAGGAAGTCTGTCAGTCTATTGAGCCATAGGTAATCGCTGTAAAAGAAGAGATAAGGCCATGGCAGAAAAAAAAGTGTACTCACTATGGAAGAACTTGAGAAAGGTCCTGAGCTAAAACCCTCCTTTTGGGGGATTTGTCAGAGGATCTGTCTGAAACTGAAGTAACTGTAGAAGAGACTAGGGAACACAGGAGCAAAATGAACTTTTTTATTACTATTATTATTACTATTTGGCAGGAGTAAATGATGGGCTTCACCCAAGAGCTCTGCCAGAAGGTATGGATGAAGTAGCTGAAGTACAAACTGTGGTGCTCAACCCCCTGCTCAAAACTGTCTTGGGCCCTGAGACCTGGAAAGCGGCAGATGTGCCATCAATTTTTAGAAAAGGTTCTGGGGGAGATCCAGGGAACTACAAAGCCTGACTGGGCCCATTTATTAGAAACTGTTATAAAGAACTGAATGAAGAGACACAGGGGAAAATGGAATATATTAAGAAGGAGTCAGCAAGACATTTTTAAAGGATGGGACTCATCAGCCTAGGAAAGAGATGAGATGACTGAAGAGAGATCTGATAGACGTTTTTAAAATCTTGAGAGGCATGGAAAAGGTGACTAGGAAATGACAATTCTTTGTCTCTTCCAACATAACCATGTGGAGCATTACAAGACATTAGCAGCTGCCCTGTTCTAGCAGGCAAGAGGAGGTGCTTTTCTCATAAAATGCAGATCTCCTTCCTTTAGGCGGCTGTGGCTGTGAAAAGTTTGCACAGGTGCGGAACACAAATGTGCAACGTCATGGAAGAAAAATCCACCGAGGGTTATCGAGTGCAAAGACCTTTGGCATAGGAAGTCACTGAGCTGCAAAATGTGTGAGAGTTTTCTGGGGAAGTATCATGTCCACTTCACTTTCCTAGGTGTTTGCTGTTGGCCACAGTCAGAAACGGGGCCCTGGGGAGATGGGCCGCTGGTCTGACCTGATATAGCTGTATTCTATTCTTATGTTCCTTCCATAAGAGTGGAGACCACATTAGCCAGAATATCTAGCCTGGATAAAGGATGGGATACTAAGTGGCTTGGAATGATCTTTCCAGAAATAACGGCAGGTGAACTAGAGGGAAACTTACAAGTCCTTTCTGATAATAGGTGTTTTAATTTAAAAGCATTCTAATTCAATGTGTAGCCTGTGACAGAAAAAAAGAAGGAACAATTACAGAAAAAAAAAACCATCTGAAGGTAGTACAGAACGCTCTCCCTATTGGCTTCTACCAGCTTCTGATGATGTATTGACCTAATGTGTTCAAGTCACGTGGCCATCACTTAAATTCTTGGTTCTGGAGTATACCACGTACACCCCTGACACACGCTCCTTGCCCTTGCTGAAGCAGGGTCTTTTAAGTCTTAGTGGACCGAGTCCTGGGTATTTTTGTTTCTATCTTTAGTTACAAAACATAGTGACACATTTTTAACGGTAAAGACTTTAGCTAATCATTGATAGGTGCCTGTAAAAGGGTGCTGTAGTTACACAAGGAAAGTGTAGCGTCTGCAACCTGCTCTTTTAAATTTCAGTGCTTAAATATGCCTTGGCCATTTAAACCTTACTTTTATCCTGTCCAGAGCCTTGTGTGATATACAGGTATCATCCTGGGATTTTATGACAACCTGAAGCAGGAACATGTCCTAGCAGCCATTCAATTACCATTTTCACAAGCCAACTCTCAGAAGTTAAGACCTCAAGGCTAACTTTGGTATTTGGTGGGAAGAGAAAACAGGGTTTTGTTATTTCTGTCATTCCTGTTGCCCCTCTGGTTGGGATTCTAAGCAGATCGTGCATCTTTCTTGCAGAAACTGACACACGTGGGCTCTCCAGCTCCCTGCGTAGGGTCGTGAAGCTGAAGTTGCTATTCCATGCCTGGGAGAAGGCAGCGTTCAGTGCAGATCAGTGCTTTTTTATGAATATTTACTTGCCAGTCAGAGACATCAGCTCACCAGTGTGTAATAACTTTAATCAAAAAAAGTGCAAGGTCTCCCCCTCCTGTCTATACAGATAACATTCAACCCCACACTGGAATCCAGTCAGGCCTAGCAGAGAGCACAACAGCTGTTTAACAGAGTGTTGCAGTACTGTATGAGAAGTATTGAGCTGGAGTGAAGAGCAAAGTGCCAGAGCAGAGCACTAACTGCAGCGTCAGTGGAGGTCAGTTGTTGAAAGCTGGTAAAGGAGGGGGTATGCTGGGCCACTGGAGTGGGAGAGGAGGAGGAAGAAGAGGAAGGGAGAGTCCCAAGAGCCTTCATCCTCACCTTCTTTTGCACTGTCCATCAGAGGGTGAGGTCTTTCAAGGGCAGGGCCTGGCCTTCACTGAGATCATGTCAGCTGCACAGCTTATGGGGCAGCTGGTCTAGAGAAGGAGGCTAATAGGGGTGAGAATGAGAGGAAAAAATCCTGCCTCCACCATCTGACCTATTATTCATATAGCATGGTAATGTTTGGAAATATTCAAACAGCATCACACAGAAATCAGTGATATCACCAGCCATATCCTGTGTAGTCCTACTCTGATTTTTCCAGACTCTCTCAGGTTGGCATTAATACAGGCAGTGAGACAAAATGAGGGCATCTCTGCAGCTCTGGGGATGTCAGCTTGAGATAGGAGAGTCCCAGAGGGAAACAGGGGAAAATGAAACAATTTAGCAAAACTGACAGAATTTAATGAAAGTATTCTGTTCCTCTATCTCTGCACACACAGTTGAAAAGACGTCAGCCAAACAATTTTCTCTCTTCCATGTCTACAGGGCAGGGAGGTGCTGCCTGCCCAGACAAAATGATTTCATTTTATTTTTTCTCATATTTTGTCACTCAGGATTGTATGTGTAGAGACCTGCATGCAAGGGAGAGAGGAAGGGACTTACAAGCTGTCAGAGGCACTAGAACCGTGGCAGCAACTATGACACGGTGCCATAAGGACAGCTGCCCGCCAGGGGCCTTCAGCATCACCTCAGCTTTCTTTGCATGAGCTATATAGAGCAACTGTCTGAGAACACTAAATGGGAAAAAAAAATCTGATAATTGCATAAATGAGCAACCAACTTACGAAGATTAGAAAAAAACCTGCAATATGGATGAATTGTATCACAGCTCCTAGTATAGGCTTTCCTGCACGCCACTGTTTCTTTCATCTACCTGTCAGGCCAGGCAGATCATTAATTTTGCAACTCCAGTGTTCCTGGGATTAACTGCTCTTGTCCACAGTGTATGATAGTTTAAAACATGAGGTGAAAATTACGGCAGTCAACATATGGGGACAGACAAAACATGATTACCTGAAATTCTATGACTAGGGCCAGGAGACAACAAAAATGCTGTGAACTGTCCAGGCCTGCCACATGTTGAACAAGCTTGATTTGTTGTTTCTTATAAAAGTGCATTGGGCTTGGCATTTTTAAATAAAAAGTCAAGTTTGAATTATTTCTCAAGCATTTCTATTTCTGAGTGATCGTTCAAAGATGAACGGTGCCAAATGAGAGCATATGCAGAGTGGTTGCACCAGCAGGGTGAGAGGGATACATCAGTGACTGAAATGCGTCAGTGGCTGTTGCTACTTTTCTGCCCACGAAGGAGAGCTGCAGGCTTACAGAGGTGGCTGGAAGGGACTGGACAGGAATGCTAGAAGGCTGACATGGGTAGCACCTGGTAAGCAAAGTGTTACTGATTGGTGCCATCTACCCTGGCTGTCTCCAAGGTTTCTATAGCGCGCGCGCGCGTGTGTGTGTGTGTGTGTGTGTGTGTGTGTGTTTGTGTGCGTCTGTCTGTCTGTCTGTCTGTGTGGTGTCTATCACAGAAAGTCTGCTGCTGCTGTGAATAAGTGATTTTTAAGAGCTTAAGGACTGCAGTAAAGTGATTGTTTTTGCTTTTGTCCACATGGCAGGTCTGTGCTGTGTTAGGGCTGTGACACACAGGCATTCATGGTATCTCTGTTTCTCTCTGCAGGTTCTGAAGCATTTGCGTCACTTAAATTTTACCAATAACATGGGGGAACAAGTGGATTTTGACGAGTTTGGGGACCTGGTAGGGAACTACTCAATAATCAATTGGCATCTCTCTCCGGAGGATGGCTCAGTCGTCTTTGAGGAGGTTGGGCACTACAATGTTTATGCCAAGAAAGGGGAGAGGCTCTTTATCAATGAAAACAAAATCCTGTGGAGCGGATTCTCTAAGGAGGTAAGAGCTTATATCCTTACAGCAATGTTTCCCAAACTTCTGAAAGCTGAAATTTGAAATAATTCTGCATACTCCACACATTATGGTTCCATGTCTCATTAAAAGGCCCATTCATCTTAGTGTGTACACATTTGCTGCCCTAGTCCTTCACACCCTCTTTACCCGCTTCTGGAAATAACAGGCTGCTTCTTCTCCCTTCCAATATGTTCAATGAGCCATGGAGTTGTTAAGGATATTAATGTTTTAAGTAATGTAGGATTTTTTTGGCCCAAGTAGTTAGCTTAGAATTTTGTAATGCTATTTCCACAAGACTGAGAAATTAATTGCCCAAGGCTGGTTGTTGACAGTCAGTAGTAGTGCAGTGCAGTCAGTCAGTGCAGTAGTTTCATTGCTGAAAATGGCCACCTCTTCCACTCCCAGTGTCTTTGTATCAAGAAGCATTTCTTCCTTCTCCTAGTTAAAATCACATCTTTTCTGGGCAGGCTTCACCCTCCAAGTCCCACAGCCTTCCACATACCCTTGCCTTGCAAACCAAACAGAAAAAACACCTGTTAATCTACCTGTATGAGCTTGGACCTCCTGTTCAAACTATGAGCTGCACCAATATCTTTTTTTATCTACTGGAAGGGACTTGTTCAATCTCAAAAGTACATGATGTAGCCATTGACTTCAGTTAGACGTAAGTCCTGCTCCACCTACCTGCAGGTATAAGATCTTTTCAGCATAACCATATCTTTGCTGGTGTCCAAGGCTGTGTCTCCCCCATGTGATGGGAATGCAGTGCAGAGAGCTCTGGGCAGGAGCCAAGTAAGCTTCTGTAATCAACAGCAGCAGCCCACTCCACCCTAGATAAAAGCCATGGCTCCCAGAGGGGCTACTGAGCAGGCATGTGGCTTGTGACTTGGGGGAGTGACTTGGAGTCTTGTCTTAGCAGGGTCACTGTGCCAGGCTCTGCTGCAATGCTTAGACATGTTAAATTAGCACCTGATGATTGAACAAGGCAATTCACCCCCAGGTGATTATTCACTTTCCCTGACAGCTCAGGTAGCTGTTCCTTCAGTAGCTACATTTGCCCCACGTGTTTATACTGTCAGTTAACCCTCGTTTGACTCCTGATTTACCAGCTTCAGTTATGGGTTAAATTCAGAGCTCTCTGAAGGGGGCATGGGTCAGACAGAG